TCATTCCTTCCTTCCTTTCTTCCTTCCTTCCTTCCTTCCTTCCTTCCATCCTTCCTTCCTTCCGTCCTTTGACCTCCATGTCACCTCTTTGATCACTTCTCTTTCTTTTTTTTAACTAGTTTTGACGAGACAGGGACTCCCTGTGCCATCACTGATTTGTTAGTGAAGACTTTCCTCGTTGTGCTGTAAAACCTTTTCTTTCTACATGTTTTAGCTTTTGGTTATTTTCCTTGTCTTCCTTCAGTGGTAGATAATGTCTCAGCCAGTAATCTGATAACTGCTCGCCCTAAGATGTTCCCCGTTCAGTGTCTCCATATTTGTCTCTCCATCCTTGTTATGTTTCCGTCTTCATCTTTTCTTCAGTGTTTTGCACTCTGATCATTCATAAAGAAAAAGAACAAACCCGAAGAACAGATCAGGAAAATCATAATAATTTATGGCAGTTTTTAAACTCACAGCACGTATTTTACATCAGCAAGACTCCATGTCTCAGCACCGAACAAAATGTCACGAAAATATACAAAATGAAATATCACGATCTTCCAGTTTCAAATCACTTGGCGTGAAACCTGGTCCTATTCAGTTGAACACCGTTCTGATATCACAGACACAGAAGAAAAACACAAGATGTTTTTCAATAGCTTAAAAAACATTGATCTTGCTTAACTTAAAGCACAATTATAATGTGTTTTCAATTAAATTCGACACATGTGTGTCTGTATTTTATATCCTTATTGTCATGTTTTGCTATGGAATACCCTGCACTTACATGGAGCGTGCTGACGGCAGATGGCAGTTGCTCGGTGCTAACATTGCCATGGGCGATGGTGTGTTCTCTCGGCCTGTTTCACTGCGTGTGCGAGAGTGTGAGAGAAGCTGCTTTTACTGCCAGGTGTTAAAAGGCATTCTCCACGTGGTAACGCTTTGACCTCGGTGGCACACATGTCGAAACTGCACCACCGGGGGATTAATGTCAGACCTCCATTCCGACCCGTGGAAGCCTTTAGGCCCAATTATGCTGCTGGTCCACAGAACGTCATCAGATGTTGTGTGTTTGTGCAGATGTGAGCCTCATCCACTGTTTTCTTTCTCCCACACCGTCTGTGCTCCCCGCGGCCCAGTTACCCCCCTGCTGTTTTCCTGCTGTTTGACCAGGGTCATTGCATGAGCTCTGGCCTCCCGCCTTGCCCCAGGGATTGAGGCCTAGAAGGGGGGGAGGGCTGCGGATGTCTGTGATCATCTCGCTGCACTCTCCTGGATGAAGCAGCCACAGACACAGGAAGCTGTAATTAGGACTAGAGGAGACCTATTACCCAGGAGTGCTCCTTCTCCTGCGAACTCACTCTGGCTCGGTCTCGAAGGAAATACTTTCACACGCAGAGTCCAAAACATATAATTATACGTGGATGGGAAGATTGCTGGCCTCTAATATGAGGCTATTTAATGCCTCATGTATTCACCTTGATTGCCGAGTACTTCACTCTGTAAGCAGTCACCAAACCTGCCTTATCATCAAAGCCACAGCGGAAGAAAGTTAGGCTAAAAAGATACAGTGAGGGTTTTGGTGACGATGAGGCCTTGATTGTAGCGTTCAGCCTTATTCAGTGCATCTACACAAAGTGTTTATAAGAAATGGAATGAGCTGTGAACAGCCTTTAGTGAGTGTCTAGAAAAATACCCCTTCACCGGATTCAGAAGTAAGTGTGGTTAATTTGGTCCCTCTCTGGAATTAATGGTCACTTTTTTCTAGACTATTCTGTTACTGCTGTAAATTACCAACAGTGTTCCAGAGGAAGCCGCGCACTGTAGTACTCACAGTTCACATCTCTGATGTTGTTAAATAGATTTGATAAGGACTAACAGTTAGCTAGGTGATTAGCTAAGTCAGCCCAAGAAAACATGCCGGAAATTGAAGAGTAATAAAATAAAAATAGCTTAAAATTCCCCCAATATAGCTCCTTGATATTTTAGTAAGGCCAAGTACCAAGGTGAACAGATATTAAGATTGGTCACAATGTTACATTGTGTTCTATAGACTGTTGGCATTTTATGCATTCATACTTGAGATGTTATCTTATATCTATTTAAGTTTGTGTAAGAAAACAGTATAAGAAAAAAAAGTCATCAAAAATGTTACTATTAGCACTTAAAGAAAAGAAGGCATTCATATTTTATTTTAGACGATATTTTCATGGTTAATAGTCAGGTCATCAGAGCTTTAATCTAATGTTTAATTGCAAACCACCAGATTATAAACCATTATTGAATATGCCTATTATCTGTTATGGGCTGTAATCCCTGCAGTTGCCTTAAACACACTCATTTACAGTGAAACACATTTAATAATATTGAAAATATCCCCATAGGATTGAGTGTAATTACTGCCCATATGTCCTCTCCTACTGCCACATAATGAAGTGGTTATAGTGTATAAGTGGGTCGGCAGGCAAACGGCCTAATGAGTCGCACTGAACTGCAGTAAAATAAAAAAGAAGGCAAACACCATCAATGTTTTTGGTTCTTTTTACAATTTATTTTCACTATCATAACGAGGATGCTGTAAATCCTAATTACTCAGTTATTAGTTATATATGTAAAAAACAACCTCGTCTTCTATAATGAGTGTGAAACAGTCTCCCGACCCGCCCACCACTTCATTTGCCCATCTACATTCCTGACCTCTACTAATTCATGGCTTTCCTTGTCTTCTTCTCAGGGTCCTGTTACATACTGGCCGACACATGGAAACCAAGAAATAGAAGCATCAACTCAGGGTGAGCAGCTCAAACCTCAAAGATAGAATCAATGGATTTTTGTTTAGGTAGAAGTAGTTTGTAGTTTATTCTGTGTATGTTTTTGGTGTTACAGCCCCCTCCAGCTGACTCAGGGGCTCAGGGTGACAACGTGGCTTCTTTGCCCAGCTGAGCAGGGCTTTATGTGAGTGGGAGCTGATGAATTCCAGTATGAGGCAGTGGCGAAGACTTGTGCTGGCAGGGATGCTGGCCTGGGGTCTCCTCTTCCTTGCCCTCCTTTCTTACTTTCTGGACGCTCACGTGACCGAGCCTCTGTTCTCCTCTGGCTCCACCCTCTCTCAGCACCCGGACACGCGCCGCCTCGCCTCCATTCAGGCCTCCCATCCGCAGCACGCCACCACTTCCGTTCCCAGGGACAAGCCGGAGCAGGAGCCAGAGTCGGAGCCTGAGCCGAAGACCTCTCCCAGCTCCTTGACCCCAGAGTCAAGTCTGGAGGTGAGCCACAGTCCCAACGTTGCTCCGTACGTCACCTACGGTAGCCAAGAAGGCCATCAGGATTACCTGGACCCCCAGAGCCTGGCAGCTTGGTCCTCCTTTGGTACAGAGAACATAGGTTCCTACTCAGATCCTGCAGTCCAGAGTCGTGAGAGAACATCTCAGACCACAGAGTATCAGAACAATGCCATCGAGGATGAAGGGGAAGAAGGGGATGAAGAAGAGAAGGAAAATGAAGATGAAGACCTAGGGAACAGAATACGGGACAGGAGGCACGGCGGCGGGGACTCCTCTGACCTGGAGGCGTCTCATTTCGCCAAGTCGGCCTCTGTGGTGCAGCGCCTGTGGCGAGGCCACGTGTCCACGGGCATGCTGAGCCCTCGGCTCCAGCGCGCAATGAAAAACTATGTGAACGCCAACAAACACAACGTATCGTACCAGGGTCACCGCAGAGCGGCGCAGAGCGCCAAGGAGCTGCTGTGTCAGATGAAAGCGCAGGCCAAGCTGAGGACGGTGGACGGCTCGGAGCAGCCCTTCTCCTCGCTCGGCTGGGCTCGCCTTGTGCCGGCCCTCCCACTTAGACATCTGTATAAGCAACAAGAGAAGCGCAGCTTCAAGACGTGTGCCGTGGTCACCTCGGCCGGTGCCATCCTGCACTCCAGACTGGGCAGAGAAATAGGTAAGTGGATTTGGCATCTCAGTTCTGAACACCTCCTCACACACCGCATGGCTTCTGCTAAGATGCAGCTAAAGTTCAGAAAATGCAATACCACACTTACTTACTTAATTACTCTAATGTGACATGCCTTTGGTGACCATAAGAGGGCGTGAGTTTAACTTTCACATTACATTTCCTGCATATTAAGCCCCTTCTGGTTGTATATATTATCCTGAATGTTATCACTGGTATTACTGTCATTCTTTATGCCAAATAATGTGACTGTAGATTATTGGCATTAGAACTCCTATTACTATTTAATCTTGTACTACCATTTCACTGATTTTTACTATTAGTGTCTAAAACAATCTTTGACATCATACAAGGATAAAGCAATATATTGCCATTCTTAAGGCGATCCACCTAGAAGTGCTGAAGGAAATTATAGACCACTAGGAGGAGCACCAGCTGCTCAGTAATTATCTAAATGTAATTTCCTGGTAAAGTTCAGCATCTTTATTTATCAATATACGTCAATACGGTCTTTTAATTATACTTCATCATTTAAGTTCCAGACCCAAGATAGTAACATGTAATTAAAGAGAAAAAACTCCTCCCATTTTGGGGTAACATGATAATGAAACACTGAGCCACTACAATGCTCATTATAAAACTCTTCAAAGGTCTTCAAAATATAATTTGTTTTTTTTCACCTGGCTGAACATGTCAACGTGACTGTAATACAGTCCTAACAGTCAACAGACCAGAAATACAATGAGATGATAGTCCAGACTGTAGGTGAAGGTAGACTGGAACAGAGTCCTCACACCTTACTGCATATTTAATGCTCTCTCTCTGCAGTACATACACTCCAAATATCTATATCGACATCTGTTTCTAAATTGTAGTGATAATGGTATTGTTTTGGAACTTGTTGAGTTGAGTGTGTATAGAATCTTCAGAGAGAATGTTAAATTATTAAGAAGTCCTTCTCCAGGCAGTGGTAGATACAGTTCATAGATGGGACAAAAGCAAATACAAGAAAAATGAATGAAAATGGTCAGAAATGAAAGCTTAATGGTTTGAGATGGTGAACAGAAGAATGGAGAAGCCTACCATGTGGGCGGAGTCAGGAGTGATGCTCTGATGATGATTTACAGACAGTGGAGAGACTGAAGAGGTGACATGGTTTAACAACCCGACCCAAAAGCAGATTTATGCAGTGGACATGAGGTGTTTACTCCTGACCGCAACCATCAGAGGGCGCCCTTTTGAAATCAATAAATGTAAAATTACAGTATATGTATCAGTAACGACCACAGTGAACCACCCATCAGCTGTCCATAAGATTGGTCTAACCTAGTACATTATTATTATTATTTTTACAACATTAAATCAGTGATTTTTTGGCGGGTCCACATATGGTGTACATCATCACCATGGGCCATAAACTTTGTGTTAAACCAGAAAATTAGTAGTCCGTCTGAGAAATGTTTCCTGAAGGTGCGTGTCTTAAAAACTATAAATTTTCTGCCAACACATTCTGAATACTTTACTGAATACTTAGATCAGTACCTGCAGAGTACACTTGGGGCTGACCTGCCGTGCCGTGTCGTCATCACAGGAGAGAAACATACGCCTTTATGTGTACTGGTGTACTGTTGTATGTGTACTGTTGTACTGGTGTATGTGTACTGGTGTACTGTTGGATGTGTACTGTTGTACTGGTGTATGTGTACTGGTGTACTGTTGGATGTGTACTGTTGTACTGGTGTATCTGTACTGGTGTATGTGTACTGGTGTACTGTTGGATGTGTACTGTTGTACTGGTGTATCTGTACTGGTGTATGTGTACTGGTGTACTGTTGGATGTGTACTGGTGAACATTTTGTCCTGTTTAAGGAACACCTCTCTTCAGATGAGTAATCCTAGAAAATTACTGTTTGGTCTGTGTAAAAAAGTAAACCGACCACCAGATGACATTTTAAAGGGGAACAGAAACACACAAACAGGAAGAGTACGGTCCAAAACCAATCATGTTCACCAAGTCGAGAAGTTACTCTTCACCGACAGTTCTTTAGTCCTTCCTGTGATGTGTCTGTAGTTCAGTGTTGGCGCCTCTGCTGTAGTAAATGGGAAACACAGAAGTTCTCCATCTGTTTAAAATTTTAAAAGATTTGGGTTGGGGGTGGGGGGTGGGGGGGGTCAGGTGGCACTGAGTTTCACTTCAGTGAAGAGGTTTATTGTGAGACGTCTCCAGGAGGTGTTGGGTTTCATTAGAGGAACATCATAAAAGTACTCATAAGGCACGGCAGTAACTTAAAGCATCTGCAGCTGCGTACAAGACAATTATGTCAAGTTAAATTCAAGTGGAGCAGTAATGACTCTGGAATATACAGTAGACCTTAGCATGTGTAGTAGTGTAGCAGTGTGATGCCTGTGTGTGTATTTCGTCTCGTCCATATATGTGTATGTGTGTGTGTGTGTATATGTGTGTGTGTATATATACTGTATATATATGTGTGTGTGCATATATACTGTATATATATGTGTGTGTGCATATATACTGTATATATATGTGTGTGTGCATATATACTGTATATATATGTGTGTGTGCATATATACTGTATATATATGTGTGTGTGTGTATATATGTGTGTGTGTATATATACTGTATATATATGTGTGTATGTGTGTATATATGTTTGTGTATATATACTGTTTATATGTGTGTGTATGTGTGTATATATGTTTATGTTTGTGTACATATATCCATATATAATATAAATATATATAATGTGTATGTATATAAATATATATATATATATATATATATATATATATATATATAAAGTGTATGTGTATATATATAAAACCCAAATAATTGAGCTGAACCATAGTCAAATCTACAAGCCAATTGATTACAAATTAGGGCATTAACAAGAAAAACAAATGTGTCTCGTAGCACCTGTTGACGTTCCCCAGGGTGAAGTAAAACACAGTTTTTTTTCTTCTATGTTCTCTTTATGAGCGAAATCTACAGAAGTCATACAGTATACAGAGGGTTACAAGCTGTTGGCTGGGTGTGTGTGTGTCTGTGTGGTTTTTTTTCATTAAACGACTTCCAGTTTATTGTCAGAAAAGTCAACGTGTCAAGAAAATGGAAGCCAATAGTGTAAATAATCAAATATATCCAAATGTGTATAAGGTAGCAACATAAAAACAGAAATAATCTTTAACATAGTGTGAAGTCAAGTCTAGAATAGACACGAGCACTACTTCTTTCGTTTCTTTTCTTTTTTCCCCACTTGACCTGTGTTCAGCCTTTTCCTCCAACTTCCAGTCCAAGTCCAAGCCTGACAGTCCGGGTTCCTGCATGGCTATCAAAAAGTAACAACCTCCTCGCCTATTTTTTTTCTGCACTTCCCACTCAAAAATGTACGTGGAGGAAAGAGAGAGGTTCAGGTGAGAAGTGGAGATAAAAGAGAGTCCATTCTCACCAGCACATCAGTGACCTGCCGTAAGAGATGGTGAGCTGATATTTCCACTTGAAGAGAAGTGAAGCACTGCTGCTGTACCTTCTACATCACTGTCTGCAGTACGGCCATGTTAACATTAGCCCCAGGCTTCGCTTCCTCCAGGTTTGACAGATTTCTCTGGACAGTTCTCACATTACAGACACTGCAGAGAGTGTTGTCTGGGCTGCTGAACATCGCAGGGACGGAAAAGTCAAATTATCTACCCACTCCCAAAATGTCACAAATGATAAAGCGTCACAAACACAGGGGTGTTAAGTTCAGTAGATATAAAGCACCTTTCAGAGAGAGAAGGGCAGAAGGTCGACGACCTGGCTCTGATGAGTGGTTTCAGAACCTTTGCAGCCAGATGTAAACAGTCGGTCTCTCAAGTCCCTTATTTTTTTTTACTGTTTCGTTCCCCCCCCCCCCGTCCTTAGCTTTCGCTGATTGACTTGTCAAACAGATTGTAAGCGGGGTGGAGTGTGTGCCTGGAAGGCTATATGTCTTTGCATTAGAGTGTGTGTGCTCTTGGTTTATAGGCTTTGGCAGCTCTTTGGTTAGTGGGGAGAGTGTGAACTCGGTGACAGATGGCTCTCACTCGAAGAAAGCACAAACCCCTCTGGTAGCCGATCAGGCGTTTTGTTTTGTTTTTTTCTTCCCCTCACACCTCGCACTCTTTCACAGGCATTTGCTTCACTTATTTTCTCAGAAAGATCTTTAATAAAGAGAAAAGGAGAGAACCTGGATTTTACTGTTGTTTTCAAATAATGGTGACATTTGGTTTTTGTCATTTCAAAGACAGGATATGAACAACATTATTGCAGGAAGAGGTGACTGGGACCCACACTAGGATGAAACTCTGCCGTTAAATTCAGGGCTGTAGAGAGAAGGGATGTCAGTGTACATGTGTCAGGTTCTGAAGAGCCAAGTTTTATATTCTTAAAAAAAAGGCAGGTTGAAGACACCTTGGTATAATAATGGTTTGCTAAGGGTTCAGTATACCTTGTTTGCCAACAAGAAAATAAATAACCTAAATGACAATCTTACTGAGAGTAACTTTAACATAAACTTGATGCTGACTAGCATTCAGAATCAGTATGGCTGATAATGACGGTGTACTCTGCAGTTTGAGCTGCATCCCAGTTCATCAGCAGCTTGTGGAAGGTAGTTAAAACAAGTTTGGTCACAGATGTGAAGGAATTACCACCATCATTTATTATTTACAGTCTAACCAGAAACAGCATGTTCGTGTTAGAAATGCAACACAGCAGGTGTGTTTGATTCAAGATGTGTAATGTGGCAACCGGGTGGTGCAGCAAATCAGCAGCATATTTCACTACAGCTGTTTATATGCTCTTCATTGTTTCACACGCTCACAGAAACTGCCAGTAAAAATATTGATAAGTCGAGAAAAATCCCTGAAAATGCATTAATATTGAAGTAATGGGAGTAACAACCTGGCCTGACTGGATGTTCCCGTTTGTGCTGATTCAGTCTTTGTCC